AAGGAACCAAAATATCTTCTCTGCTTGCCGTGGACCACGTTTTGCCCTGAGATCAGTCACTATTGGGTCATGGCAGCCTGCTGCAGGTCAGGATTTTTCAGTCTTGGGTACCTCCAACTTACTGTCCTGTGCATATGGGCAGGTCTGTAACAGCTTTGTTTAACTCGGGTGGGTGCTATGGAAGTTTAGGTGCTTGAAAGCCCACTGCTGCTACTTAACATGCTGAAGTCTTCAGTTTGGAAGTAATAATTGCAGTTTGGAAGGGATTTGTGGTTCTTGTCACTGGTTTAAATTTGTACCTTGTATTCCAGCCGTCCATACACGAATAAAGTCATTACGTTGTGGTATCGACCTCCGGAACTGCTGCTAGGCGAGGAGCGTTACACACCAGCCATAGATGTGTGGAGCTGTGGGTAAGTGCCTGGTTTGGGTCTCTTGTCCTGCTGGGGCCTGTGGGCGTCAGCACATGAATAACGTGGCTCTAACGGAAGGAGGTCTTGGATTTGAGCTGATTTCTGAAGCCATATCTGTTCCACCTAGGCAGTGTTGTGGTACTATTGGAATGCTTCCAAAATTCTGTGCTTTGAGGAAATAGGTGCGTGTCATCTAACTAAAGCTCTACCATTTAGTGAAAACCCCTAGAGTGAGACTTTTGTTGGTATTGACACGTAAAAGGAGTCTGTTCTCACTATGTAAAACCCAAACCAACCAGCCTTCGGTAACGATGTGCCACTCAGGTCAGAAGGGGTGACACTCTTACCCTGTGCTGGTCATAGCTTCTGTGGATGGTTTTAAGGACCTAATAGAGGTTTTCCTGTAACCTCCTCAGGTTGCTCTGTTTGTCACCTAATTTTTTCAGCTAAATCTAGGAAACATTTTAAAGTAGAGAGTTGAGGTTTCTAGTAGTGTAGGGAGCCCTGTGAACGGGAGGAGTCTGGGCAGCTCAGCCACAAAGACGGAACGTTTTCCATGCGATTCAGAACCGGAGACTCGACAACTCAGCATTCCAAAGTGGCTGGATTTCCCAAAGCTTACTTTACCTGTGAATATCACAGTGGGAACTTTCAGCAGAGCTTAGTACACAAACACCAAAGGTTTGTAAAAGTCAGGCCCTGCTGATTGCTTCTGGCCACGAGGGCCAGTTGCTGTTGGGTGCCCTGTGCCAAATGGTTCCAGCAGACAGGTGCCTGTGTCGGAGCCCGGCTATATTTGGCACTGATCGTCATTCCTGTCGGAAGGCTTAAGGGTAGATGTTAAGGGCTGAATGAGTCAGAGTTATCCCCTCCCTCCCCTTCCAGCTGCACAAATGTGTGTGCACACGAGTGTTGTGCCCACGAGGCCATATCCTGCGCTTGGCAGTGACGAAGGGAAGCTGCTGGCAGCTGAGAATAATTTGGGCCAGCAGATACCCCCAGTAAAGCTGAAAAGACAAATGGGCTGAATCTGGAGGAAAATGAGCTGCCTGGCTGTTTTTCTTGTCATGCTATGGACACATCCTCCTTTCCCCACGAAGAGTTAAAGCACGAAGCCTGTGGCATGTTACCCAGCCTACCAGTGAGCGTTATTTCCCAGCTGCGTAGGGTTGGTGACTCCGGACACGTAGGTTAGTTTGTCAGTTCTCAACTACAAGCTCTGATGCAAATAACTCTCCTCAGGCAAACCTGCTTCTCGACAGAAATGCTGCAGTGTTCAAACGATCATCCCAAGGGTTTGCTGTCATGACCTCTTGCTTTTCCTCTTTCCAGCTGTATCCTTGGGGAACTGTTTACAAAGAAGCCTATTTTTCAAGCCAATCTGGAACTGGCTCAGCTCGAATTAATCAGGTAAAGCGTTGCACATGCATGCCTATGAGAAGAGGTACTGCAGAAACTGCTTGTGCACACAGGCTCTGTGTTATAAGAGCCCTCTTTCAGTAATCTGCCTGCAAAACAGGGCCAGCAAGTGACTGGAACTGCAGATGTGAATAGTTAGGCATCTCTGTGTCCATGCCTACCATCAGATGTGTGGCTGCTAATGTATGCACCCTCAGTAAACTTTGCTATTGTTAGTTGGGCACAAAAATCATGAATCTAAATTACATCTCACTGAAAATTCGTTGTGTTGGATGGTTTATGATCTCAAGGCAAGCGTTTTTCCTCTTCCTGATACCTCCTTTTTAACCTGAGGGTTACCTAATCTTCATCGAAGGGTGCTCAGACCTGGGTTATTGGCACACTAAGCTGCTTAGGAAGGAAACGTTTTCCTTCGGGTATGTGACTGTTCTCCTCTGAGCTGCATTTCGCTTTCTGACCCTACTCTGCTTTTCTGGTTCTCAGCCGGCTCTGTGGGAGCCCCTGTCCAGCGGTGTGGCCAGATGTCATCAAGTTGCCCTACTTCAACACTATGAAGCCGAAGAAGCAATACCGAAGGCGCCTGCGTGAGGAGTTCTCCTTGTGAGTTGTGTTAGAAGAGAAAATAAGTGTCTATGTGGGGGTTACAGCCTTCTGTTACATTGTGCGACTCCTCTGCCATCCCTTGGCTCTAGTCTACCTGGCAGGACACTGCAGAGCTTCCCTTTCTTGCCTTCTGCCCGTGGGCAGCCCCTCTCCAGGAGGGCTTCTCCCATCTGAGGAAGACTGGAATGGGCTCACTGTCCCTTTTCTAGATATCTGACCTGCCACAGGTGCCTTCCAGAGGGATTTCCTGCCCCTGTGCGCTTGTGAGACTTCTAACTGGGATGTGCACCTGCAGAGCACACTTGGCTGTGGTGTTCTCACGGTGTTGAGGCTGTCTGACCTGAGACGGGTGCTCTCTGCGGGGAGAGTGTGGTTGTGTGATAATCCTGTGGGATTTGTAGTGGATTTGCTCATGATAAATGGCAAAAATGAGACTGAAAACATCACACATCCAATGCCTGTTGATGTCTTTGAGTTGCTGCATCACTTAGTAATAAATTTTGGCCGCAGGGATTTCTCTTAGGCCGGAGGTGTTTCTCTCAAAGTGGGCTTCTCCCCCTGTTTGGAGCAGCCCCGTAACTCAGTTTATTTCCAACTCTCTCCGCAGCATTCCTTCGTCTGCTCTCGACCTGCTGGACCACATGCTGACGCTGGACCCTGGCAAGCGCTGCACGGCAGAGCAGGCCCTGCAGAGCGACTTCCTTAAGGACGTCGACCTCAGCAAAATGGCACCTCCAGAGTAGGTTCCAGCTGGCATCCTCCACCGCAGCGGGCTCTCTGCTCATGAGCTTTGGGAAGGAGTCACTGGCTTGGCCTTGGGGTTTTTTTGAGTCACAATTGTTATTTCTGGGTTCTTTTCTCAACTCTGCCCTTGCTTTTTATCCCATGGCTGAGCAAATAGCTTGTCCTGTGCTGTTTTCTGCCTGATAACAGGTTAGTTTTACAAAGCTCAGCTTAATGCTTGTAAGGTGCTCCAAAACTCTGTTGGAAGGTAGGCAAGAGTAGCATATCCCTGTCCTCTGTGCCACAGAGGATTGGCTGGGCCTCGTTTATGCAAGAAGAGTAACTGTTGAGCAGTGTCACACTGCAGCTCTCTTCTCCCCTCCCCAATCAAGCAGGTTGTAGAACTCCACTCTAGCCGCTTTGCACGGAACTCCGACCGTAGCTTTTGAGGTCCCTCTTTCCTTCAGAGTTCCTGAAGGCAGCTGCTTTCTTAAAGCCACCAGCCTCTCACAGCTTGGTGGACTTGTGTTTGTTGGGGCTTGTGTGCGTTGTAGCTAACCCAGTCTGTTCAGGGGTGAGATCCCAGTGGAAATCACGTGCAATTGTGCTGTCTTTTCTGATCGTAGGACTTGCTCCTCTTTGATTTAATAGTATGATTATAGTCAGAGGAGCATCCGTGCTTCTCTTACAGCACTAATAACTTTCTGTGGTCTTTGGGGATTAAATGGGTTTTCCTGCCATGTTTCTTAACCTGCGAAGTGTTGTTCTTTTCCAGCCTTCCCCACTGGCAGGATTGCCACGAGCTGTGGAGCAAGAAACGCCGACGGCAGCGGCAAAGCGGCATTGCAGTGGAGGAGCCACCGTTATCAAAAGTTTCTCGGAAAGAAACTACCTCTGTTACGAGCACAGACACTGTCAAAAACAACAGCAGTCCTGTGCACCCACCGCCTGCCCAGCTCAAAACAGAGACTGGTGCTGGAGATGCAGTAGGTCAGTGCCCAGTCTAGTCTGTAAAAGGCCCCTCCTGATATGTTACTTCTCTGGGCTGGGTGTGGGAGGCTTCTGTCTATTTTCAAGCCCGTCTGGTTCTTTCACCTCTATTTCTACAGAAAGTACGTTCCAGAATCTTCCTGTCCTGACTCTTTTTCCTTCCCCCTCCCTTGCTGTGAAAACTATTGGCTTCAGAGTGCTCTGGCTGGTCTTCAGAAGTTGTTGACTGATGAGCTGGCTGTGCATTTGTTGTATGAGTTACGTTACTGGTTCCGAAGCGTGCTTTCCAGAGGACAACAAAAGGAGTCAGAGTCACTTAAGCCAGCAAAGTAACAGTAGACTGCAGGGTACAGCCACGTAAAGGGTGTGCAGATGAGCTGAAGTTTGATCTTGTTGATCAAATTATGTAAAGATTAGGCATGGGATGTACTGGTGGTCAAAAGTGTACATTATTGCACGTTGCTTGTCGCAGAAAAGATCACTTGGTCATAAAGACTTGCAGGACCAGGACTTGTGCACTGTTTCCAAAACTGCGACCAACATTCCGGTGTCTAGAAAATAGTTGGAGGGGAGGTATTTTGATTCCTGGGAATGTAGAAACACACAAAGCTCCCCAGACCATACTGGTTGTTCTGTAGAAGCCTTATAAAAACCCAGATATGGGCTAAAGCTTCCTTTGTGTTAAATGTTGTACTGACAAGTAACAAGGAAGACAGTTTTTGCTCCAGGGAATGCGCAATCCATGTGTTCAATGAAACGTGGCAGATGGACAAAAGGTGGTGATCGGATTAACAAACAGCTGAGAAAAGTGAGTGTCACGTTCTTAGTTGCCTACCAGCAAGAGGAGCTTAATTTTAAGCTTCTAAAACCAAACGTTTGCACTCTTCTTCCCAAAACAAAGTGTCGGTGTGAAGGGACACCCTTGTCACTTGTCTTTCAGGAGGCCCCGCTCCAGCGTGGTGCAGAGGGAGGTGTTGCCACTCGAGGGTTGTCTCTTAGACTAACCTGAATACTTGCAGGTCAGGACAAGAGTCCTCTGATCCCAGGACAGCTTGCAGCAAGGAATTGCCTTCTGCTTGGCCTAATTAATTTTGCTGCACCAGTGGAACACACCCTTCCTCTGTCCCAAACAGCAGCTTAGCTCCATCCCGGAAAACCTGCTTTCCAGTGCAGGAGGGAATGCTGCAGAGGCCTGGGGAGGGGCTGAGCTGCTGTCAGACCTGCTGCTCCCATTGCAGCCCAAGTGTGCTAAAGGTTTCCCATCCTCATCGCACGTCCTCGGACTCGCTGCCGTCGTTACTCACCGGTCTGGTTGGTGGGATGCCCTCGGCTCGCTGACCGAAGAACGGGGGCAGGTTTGGCTCAACGGAGCCCATTTTAGGAAGGCACCGTGTGTGTGGTTGTGCTGTGGATGGGAGGGGGCAGGGGAGAAGCTCCCCCCGCAGCTCACAGAGCAGGACCCAGCGGTGGCCTTGGGTGAGTGCAGTGCGTGCACGGTACCACGGGGTGCTGCTGCAGTGCTGCTCGGAGCTGATCAGGCTGGAGGGGCCAAGCTGATGGTGGGAATCTGAGCGAGCTGTCCTGGAATCCTCCTCCTGGAGCCTCCGTGCATTTCCCCGGCCCAGGGACACGGAGAGGAGGCGTTCATTGCTATGTGCAGTGTCACGCTGACAAACCGATGTGGTGTAGCTTTGCCTAACCTTCCTGTGATGCTTCTCGTGTTTCCTGCAGGCCTTGGAGATATCACCCAGCAGCTGAATCAGAGCGAGCTAGCTGTTCTGCTGAACTTGCTGCAGAGCCAGACTGATCTGAGTGTCCCACAGATGGCCCAGCTGTTGAACGTACACTCTAACCCAGAGATGCAGCAACAGCTGGAGGCTCTCAACCAGTCCATCAACGCTCTGACAGAAGCCACAGCTCAGCAGCACGAGTCTCAGACGGCAGCAGCGACAGAGGAAGACATAGAAAAGGCGGCGG